CCTTGAGAGTTCTCTTAGAGTTTTTTTTAAGCTACAATTGTAGTTTATTAATTTGTGGAGGTGGTTTGTCTATATATGGAGAGCGTATTTTTTCCTGATTTTTTTGAAGGTCCTATTGGCTCATTTTATTTTTTTTATATTAAAAATTATGCAAATAATGTACATACAGTGAAGAAAAAACCCCTTACACAGTATGGAAGGGACTCTGCGCCACTCACACCATCTTTCCTACCTGGTCCTGCTTCCCCTCTGGTTTCTTGTGTTTGCTTTTAAAAAGTCTCCTAGCCCCACTCCTTCTGCCATACACATGCACAAGGCAGACTCACGTATTCTTCTGGGTCTTATCCATTTTCTGTTAATATCTTGTTGATCTTTCCCACTAACAGACGTTTCCTTTTTTTTTTTTTTTAAACTACCGACCTGTTTTTAAAAGAGTTACTCTCCGAAAATAGGCCCTGCTCTGTAGGTGGATTGGGATTTAGGAGCCCAGCTGACTCTGGTTTGAATTGTTTGGGTATTTTCTCCATGTGTGCCCTTGTGCTAGCTTCTTGACTTTTTCAAGTCTCAGTTTTCCTTTTGGTAAAATAGTAATAAAAATGCTAACCTTGCAGGATTTGTTGTGAGGTTCCAACTGCCCAGCAAATGCCTTAAGTGTAGTACGTGCTGCAGAAGTGTATTCACCAGATAAATCAATATACCCATAATCCCAAGGCCCAAAAGATTTCATAGAGAGGGAAGTGTTACCTATATCAGTGGTTTGTAAAGGATTTTTGTTTTAAGTGTAGTACGTGCTGCAGAAGTGTATTCACCAGATAAATCAATATACCCATAATCCCACGGCCCAAAAGATTTCATAGAGAGGGAAGTGTTACCTATATCAGTTGTTTGTAAAGGATTTTTGTGGAGGGAAGCAAATGATTTTTGTTATTCTAGAATTTTAAGTATGGATAAGATGATTTAATATAATAGGCAGGCCAGCAACAGGCTTCACAGTTATAAATTCTGTTATTACGTTTATTTTAAAATTATGGTCAGTTCTTTTGTAATAATCATTTAAGGCCTGTTTTTTTTAAAAAAATAAGATTAGTGATTGTTAGCTTTCTAAATGATTTAATCCATGTTAGCCATTTATTATTATGTATTGGTTTTTCACCCTGAATTTGCTGTTACAGGTTTAGGATACAAATGTTAAAAATGCTAGTTGACTTCTTGTACTGATCTGCCCTGCATTAAAGTAAATTGCTACTTTTTTCAAACAGGACACTGATCAATTTACCCAGTACATCCTGGTTATAATGAATTACAAATCAGCATTTAAATGGTTGCATCCCTTTTTAACTTTTACTTGAAAGAAAGTCAAAGCATGTCCTGACACTGCGTTTGCCTACTGATCAACCATATTAAAATTTTTCATTTTATAAAGCTTTAAATACTAAAGTTACTCTACACATAGTGAATGGTGTTTGAATTAAAGTGCATTGCAGTTATATGTATAGAGATTTTTAATCTATAGTGGGTTAATTCAGTTAATAAATTACCGCTACACTGTTGGTAATCACATTGTAAAATATTGTACTGACACTTATGATTTTGTTTTGTGATGTATTATGGTATTTTATGTTATTTATAGTATAATAGTATCAGAGTACATTATTTTAATTTTATGTTATGCTTTTACATAAGTTTACATCACTATATCTAGTGGCCTGGCAAATATTTCAAGTGTCAAAGTAGAAATTCTGATATATTACAAAGTTTTTTAATGGTACACATTCATGTATATATTGGGGTAAGAATTTTGAAAGCAAGTACTCATTTAAAATATCTCATACAGACATTCAAATTTGATAGGAGTGTTGGACCTTGGTACCTGAATAAAATTTTACATGGCTCATTAAAAGTTATTTAAATGGTTTAAACTTTGTTTAGTGTTGATTTGTTAATATACGATTTGTATGTTTGTAATTAAATCATAAGCGAAGGTGTTTTATTTTGCTTGATTTTGGGGTTAACTCTCTGATTTTGATAAACTTTGAATTCTTTAAAAATTGTTATAGCTCATTTGATGAATACAGTTCAGAACTTAAATCTGGAAGGTTGGAATGGAGTCCTGTGCACAAATCTGAGAAATTTTGGAGAGAGAATGCTGTGAGGTTAAATGAGAAGAATTATGAGCTCTTGAAGTAAGTTTTTAATTCCACTTTACATTCTTAATGAATAACTGTTGTTCCAAATCTTCACCAATACTTGTTTTTGTCACTCTTTTTAAGTTTTAGTTATTCTGTGGTTCTAATTTGTATTTTCTTGCTGACTAATGTGGTTGCATATCTTTTCTTATGCTTTTGGTCATTTGAACATCTTTTTTTCTTGGAGAAGTATCTGTTCAAGTATTTATTTATTTATTTATTTTTCATTTTGTTGGAGTTCTATGTGTATTCTGAGCATGAGTTCTTTATCATATACATGTTCACTACAACTATTTTGTTGTGCTCTGTTGCATGCCATTTCTCTTTTAGTGGTGTCTTGATGAATAGAGCTCTTAATTTTAATATAGCTCAATTTATTAAACTTTCTATGTATGGCTAGTGCTTTTCTGTGTCCTGGTTAAGAAGTTTTTGCCTACCAAAGGTCATGAACATATCTTTCTATGTTATCTTCTAGAAGCTTTATTGTTTAACCTCTGACATTTAGATCTCCAATCCAGCTGAAAGACTGGATTGATTAAATTGATTTTTGCATAAGCTGTAAAGTATAGGGATGAAGATTTTTTTTTGTTATGTGGAAATCTAATTGAACCAGCACCATTTATTGAAAACATTCCCCCCAATTCTCTGCAGTTTTACCTTTGTCACAATAAGATGGCACAATTCTGTGATGTGTTGCTGTCCCCATCCCATTGGAGCATTTGATAGAATCTGGCTTGTAGTTAATGTGGTGATAGAGATTTGGATTATGATTGATGAATCTATTGTTCACTTAACTGTATTCAGTGGCAACTTGGGAGAACCCCTCTCTTTGCTTACCACAAGAATCTCTTTTTTTTGAGCCTGTTCTTTTGAACATTTTTATTGATGATTTGAATATAGAAATAGAAAGCATGCTCAGCAAATTTGCAGATAATTAATACAAAGATGTTTTCATTGTTGCTGAAGATTTTCAGCAGACTAAATGGCCCTAAAGGATAACCATTAAAATCATTTCTGTTTTGTAGATTTGACTAGGAAGTCTGTGATTCTTTCCAATTCTAACATTCTTTGAGTCTAAGACTAGGCTTTTTAAATGCTAATGAGATCTTGTTAAAATTCACATTCTAACTCAGTGTGTCTAGAGTAGGGCCTGTGATTCGGCATTTCTAATAAGTGCATGGGTGATACCATGCTGCTGGTTTGCAGACCATATTTTGGGTATCAAGGGTCTCAGCCATGTGGAGAATGGCTTAAGTGGTTTAAGGCAGGGATTAGCAAACATTTTCTATAAAGGCCCAAAGAGTAAATGTTTTAGACTTTGTGGGTCATTTAGTCTCTGTCACAGCAACTCAGCCCTGCATTGTAATGCCAAAGCAGTCATGGACAATAAACTAATGAACATGGCTCTCTATGTTCCAGTATAACTTTATTTATAAAAATAGATGGCAGACGGACTTGCTGTAATTTGATGGCCTCTGGTTTGACATCTTCAGAATGAATACTATGTTATGCTTTAAGGAATTTTATATTAATGTAATTTTCTTATAATTTCATAGAATAATTTCTTAATATTAAAATATCAAAATAAGGGGCTGGCCCGGTGGCACACTGTGCTAGTGCGCCGCTTGGGAAGCGCGGAGGTGCTCCCGCCAAGGGTTCGGATCCCACATACAGACCAGTTCCCGCTCACTGGCTGAGCGAGGCGCGGGGGCAGCACCGAGGGTTGCGATCCCGTTGCCGGTCCCGGTCCGGTACGGGGGCGACACTGAGGGTTGCGATCCGTTGCCGGACACGGAAAAAGACAAAAAAAAAAAAAAAAAAATCAAAATAATAAAAACTTCAAAATAATTTAATCTTTTGAAATTATTAAATGTTTCAATTGAATTAAATAAAACATAATTTTAGAATAGTTTGCAAGTTGGCCTTTTGAAAAGTTAAAAATATAAATATATGTAAAATTGAATATCTTGTTTCATCTTACCAGTTTTCATGCGCTTGAGTTGAATGAATTGCTATCGGGGTATGGTTGTGCTTTGTGTGGGCGGATGATAATTGAGATTTCAGTTTCAACATTTGCTATGTCCTGAGGCAAATTACCCAACTTCTGTGACTCTCATTTCATCCTGTACAGTTTGTTATGAGGAATGCATTTACTCAGAGTTTGGAACATGCGTGTGTATAATAAATGATCATTCCTTTCTCCTCTATTTCTTGGAAATCCAGATTTTCCAGTTAATCCAGAAGATAGAAGACGAGTAAATACTTCATAATGAAATGATTCCTTGATTGGTAACAAGGTTCTCTTTCAGTGTTTCCTGTTGCCTATAGATTTTAGCTATTTGACAAGCTGAGTGGTAGGATAAGGTAGGAAAAGAAACCTTAAGCCTCAGTCGTAGGAGACATTGCCAAATAAATGTGATCTAGAAACTAAAGGAAGCAAGCTTCATAGATTCATTCAGAGTTTTATTACTTTAAGTGTTTGCTTTAATGCAAATGATCCAAGCAAAGATAGTTGTGATTCAAATTATTTTCTAGTAAAGATTTTAAGAAATAAGACTGATATTTTGTAAATGAATGGGTTTTGCCAACAAACAACTAAATGGTTTCAAAAATCTTCTACTAATATTTTAAATAATTAGCAATTCTCTTCTAAGGGATAGTAACATCTTGAGCATCTTGGTAAAATTAGGTAACTTAAAAAAAAATGTGTGTATTGCTAAAACTGTATGTTACAAATTATATCAAACAGCCTGGTCTAGGTCTTTCAAGCACTCTTTAAGGCACACAGAACCGAAATGGAAAGGTTTCTTCACTACTGTTCTATCTCAGATTCTTTACCAGTGGGAACTAGAGTCAACAGGCAGTAGAGTCTCCGGTGTTTTTTGATGCATAGACATACCTTAGCATTATTTTTATACAGAGTTATTTATGCTTGTCAACATACTAAATCTCTTAGTCTGCAGCTTGTCTTTTTCACTTGCTATGTGTTAGAGTCACTGAAAATGACTATCTTTGTTATGTTTTTTAAGACAGTGTACACAGACATCTTTGTGGAAATGTGAAAATATTTTTGTAGGGATGATTCCTGGAAATAGAATTGCTGGGTCAGAGGGTCTGTGTATTTTAAATTACACCAGGAGCTGTCAAAATTGTTTTTCCCAATTAGCATCACTAATTTAACCCTTAAATTACTTATTTATTTATTTTTTCAACAGGTGTTTGTTGTGTTCAGTGCTGTTCTAGGTGTTGCAGATACAATGGCAAATAAAAGAGAATCCTTATTCTCATTAAGCTTACATTGTATTAGGGAAAGAAAGACTAAATAAGTAGTCAAGTAAATATGTAATGTAATGGCAGGTGATGATCAACACTATGAAAAAAAGTAAAGTAGGAAAAGAGAATGATGAGAAGAGTACTGTCTTAGGGTTGTCAGAAAGGTGAAATTTGAGCTGAGAACTTAAATTATATTCTGTCAGCATACTTCTAGGTTTAATTTGCTAATTTGTTAAGGTTTTTATGTATCTATATCTAAATGAGTGACTATTTCTGGCATATTAGAAAGCACTTTTTTTATATATATATATATGTTAGAATTCTACCTAGCCATTTTTTAAAAAGTGCTCATTCTGAATGGTTATCACAGTTAAGTTCTGCTTATAGAATGAGTTGAGAAGTTTTCTGCCTATTGTTGTGCCCTCAAGCAGTTAAAATAACATAGGTATTATCTATTCCTTGAATGATTCTGCTGACACACGAGGAAGGCCGTCCTTTCCTAGCTCCTTGGATTCTGAGTGGTGTTGTCCCTCTCTCCCTTCACTCTGAAGGACATGTCACCCCCTGGTTACACCCTCTCCCTGGTGGTCCTTGAGGAGGGAGTTGGAAACCATGTCAGAGAGAAACCTTTTCTGCTTTGGTCCCTGGCTCCTGTTTTCAGAATTACCAAACAGGCTTCAATAGAAAGTTTACTCTGTATGATTGCACTGCTGAAAGTATTAGGAGGACAAGGGAGGAGGATGGTGGGTTTGGGCTGCTGTCTTCTAAGAAACATTCACTTGTCTTTATGGATATAATTGTAATTCTAATGTACTTGTATATGTTCCTTCAATAGAAAGTTTACTCTGTATGATTGCACTGCTGAAAGTATTAGGAGGACAAGGGAGGCAGGATGGTGGGTTTGGGCTGCTGTCTTCTAAGAAACATTCACTTGTCTTTATGGATATAATTGTAATTCTAATGTACTTGTATATGTTCTAGTCTTTTGTTAGAATTGGGGCAAGAGAGAGGGCAGATGTGTGAGCTTAGTGCTCAGTCTACCATCTTGATAATAGGGCACTGAAAGTAATTTGTCCCAGTACTTACAATAGGTCCTATGGTTTATTTAAAAAATATAATTAGCAAAGATCTGCTGGTAGTCTTTTATTAGAATAACTTTTACTTACATTCTAGTTATCTCTCTTGAGAGAGAGGGAGGGAGAGCCCCTGATATTTTGGGAATTGTGCATAGTATAGGTTGTGAATCTGAAAGTAACCTGTTAAGGTGCATGAAAAAATGCTCAACGTCACTACTCATCAGGGAAATGCAAACCAAAATCACAATGAGGTAGCATTTCACTCTGGTTAGAATGTCTTATTATCAAAAAGACAGAGAATAACAAATGCTGGCGAGGATGCAGAGAAAAGGGAGCTCTTATCCACTGTTGGTGGGAACGTAAATATGTACAGCCATTATGGAAGAGAATGTGGAGGTTCCTCAAAAAATTGAAAATAGAACTACTGTGTGATTTAGGAGTCCCACTGCTGGGTATTTATCCAAAGGAAAGGAAATTAGCATACCTAAGAGATACCTACACTCCCATGTATATTGCAGCATTATTTATGATAGCCAAGATATGGAATCAACCAAGGTGTCTGCCGACAGATGAATGGGTAAAGAAATTGTGGTGTATATACACAATGGAATGCTACTTAGCCATGAAGAAGAATGAAATCCCGTATGGAATCAACCAAGGTGTCTGCCGACAGATGAATGGGTAAAGAAATTGTGGTGTATATACGCAATGGAATGCTACTCAGCCATGAAAAAGAATGAAATCCCATAATTTGCAGCAACATGGATGAGCCTGGAAAATATCATATTAAGTGAAATAAGTCAGGCACAGAAAAATAATTACCACATATTCTCACATGTGGGAGTTAAAAAAGTTGAGCTTTTAGAAATAAAGAGTAGAATTGTTAATAGAAGCTGGGAAGGAGAGGAGGAGAGGTGTAGGAATAGTGAGAGGTTGATTAATGTATACAGAATTTCAGCTAGACAGGAAAAGTAAGTCTAGGTATACAGTAGTGCTAAACAGCTATAATAAACAATTATTTATTGCATGTTCTCAAATGGCTAGAAGAGAGGAGCTCAAGTGTTCTCATCACAAAGAAATGATACATTTTGTGATGATGAATATGCTAATTACTGATTTGATCATCACACATTGTGAATATATATCAAAATATAATTCTGTACCCCATAAATATATACAATCAATACATGTCAATTAAAAAGTATTTTAAAAATGAAAGTAACTTATATGTGTATAAGGTTTTGAGAACTAACTTATGTGTAACAGTGAAATCTGTAGGAAAATATGATTATAATTGTCTGTTTTCAGGAAGATATCTACATTTTACCTGTGATCTGTTATGCTCTGTAGAAAAATTAGAATTGATCTCTTTTTGGATTAAATTTATTTCAGAATCTTGACAAAACTTCTGGAGGTGTCAGATGATCCACAAGTCTTGGCTGTTGCTGCTCATGATGTTGGAGAATATGTGCGGCATTATCCACGAGGCAAACGGTAAGAGAAGGCCATTAATTTCATTTAGGTTTCTTGAAACTTACCACATAGAATCCTAAATAATGTACTTATCTGAAATAGAGTAGTTTAGCAGAGGAACTAATGGAGTAAATGAAATCAAGATTACCATAATACTGAGAATTATGATAAACCCAATTAAAATGAGTTGTATAAAAATATAAATACACTTGCATAATACTACTGTGTAGTATCCAACAGAGATCACATTAGAAATTTCATGTTAAAGTTTTTCTTTGGTTTGTATGATTTAATTCAACAGGCATTTTGTGAGCATTGGTTACTTTGCAACTACTATTTATAGTTACAGAGGTGAATTAGACATTGTTATTGATCTCATAGGTTCAACGTATAAAGGAAATATCTGTAATGAAAAGTTACAGTAGATGCATAGTAATAGACTTAGGTATTCAAAGTATTGAAGTGTGGGAGGAGACAGGAGTCTTTATAGAGGAAGTGATACTGATTAAGTAATTTAAATTTACATAGATTTATTAACAACAAAAAGATGGACAGATTTATTTTGGAAAAATAGGAAATGAAGGTGCCAATATTACAACAAGGGGGAAAACATTAAATGTTACAAAAGGGCTGTTTTATTTTGTTTGGAAAAGCAGGAATGCATAGTGCCTTGGTCTGAGTTGTTGTATTCTACTTGCTGATCAGTTCCTTGATCTATAATATTGGGATGATAATATTTCTCTGTCATGAGGCTGATGTGAGGATTAAACAAGTTCATGCAAGTACAGTGCTGGTAGGTATGCAGTAAATACTCTATAAGTATTAGCTGCTTTTCTTATTATTAATGTCAATATTTTATATTAATCAAAGCTATATATGACGAAGACATAAAACAGTATTTATCTTACTTATCGAATGACAGTGTCAAAATGAATACACCCAGGGTGTCTTAGAATGTGGGGAAAAACTGGTGGAGCTATGGTTGTAGTTGCTGACTTTAACTTTCCACAGTTATTTCATGACTTCTTTGTCCTTATTGTGTGTAAATGCTTAAATATCATAAAAAATCATGTCAGTGACTAGATGGAGATGCATCTCTTCAAGCAGAGAAATGATCCTTCTTTTCCGAGTGCCTATAAAATATATATATATATGTATATATATATATATTTTTTGTCTTTTTTGAGTCCGGCCGCACCGTGCTCAGCCAGTGAGCACACCAGCCATCCCTATATAGGATCCGAACCCGCGGCAGGAGCGCTGCTGCATTCCCAGCGCCACGCTCTCCCGAGTGCGCCACGGGCTCGGCCCTTAAAATATATAATTTTTAATTTTTACCTTGTTTTTTCTCTCTCTGGTTTAAGCCCAGGCTTCTTTGTAGTGGTGGATATTGATAACCCTGACTCCAAAATTATGACAGTTTCACTGGAACAGCATTTGCTGGTGCTGTGTAATGTCACTTGGGTCACATTCTGAGCTGTCAGGTGAGCACTATCATATGGAGAACTAGGAGTAGGTGAGGTACAACCCATTTTTGGGTTCAGATACATGAAGGAGAGGGTCTAATTCAGGCCCCTTTGGAATGAAAGAGAATGTTTCTCTGGCATCACTTCTGGGTTGGAATAATGACCATGAGTATCTCAAAACTTAACATGATGTGTCAGTGTACAAAATGCAACATGGTAGCTTCTAGGTTTGGAGGCATGAGTATGCCCTATAATTAGAGCTCTTCTTGAAAAACATAGGCTAGTCCCAGATCCCACACGTTTTGGTGTAATGTGTCTTTACTTTCAATAACTTTTCCATTTCCTGTAGAATTTCTTCTTGGACCTATAGGTCATTCAGAAACATGTTTAATTTCCATGTATGTCTATAGTTTCCAGAGTTTCATTTGTTATTAATTTCTAGTTTTAATCTGTTATGGTCTGATACTTGAAATGACTTCAGTTTCTAAAAATTTGTTGAGACTTGATTTGTGGCCTAATGTGTGGTCTATCCTGGAGAGCATTACATGTGCTGATGAGAAGAATGTATGTTCTGTAGTTGTTGGATGAAATGTTCTGTGAATATCTGCCAGGTCCAGTTGGTCCAAAGTATAGTTTAAATCCTGTGTTTATCTGTTAATGTGTTACCTAGATGATGTGTCCAATGCTGAGAGGGGGTGTTGAAGCCCCCCACTATTATCTTATTTGGGCTTATATTTTTCTTTAGGTTAAATAGTGTTTTCTTTATATATCTGGGTACTCAGGTGGATATGTGTATATTTATGATTGTTATGTCTTCTTGCAAGATAGATTCCTTTGTCATTATATAATGTTCTTCTTTGCCTCTTTTTATGATTTTATTTTATTTTATTTTTCCTTTTTGTCTTTTTTCGTGTCCGGCAACGGACTGCAACCCTCAGTGTCGTGCCCGTACCGGACCGGGACCGGCAACGGGATCGCAACCCTCGGCGCTGCGCCCACCCCTCGCTCAGCCAGTGAGCGGGAACCGGCCTGTATGTGGGATCCGAACCCTCGGCGGGAGCGCCACCGCGCTCCCAAGTGGTGCACTGTAGCAGTGTGCCACCGGGCCGGCCCTATGATTTTATTTTAAAATCTATTTTATCTAATATAAAAATAACTACTCCTCTTTTGACTTTCCATTTGTGTGGTATGTCTTTTCCTACCCTCCGCTATTAGTCTCTGTGTGTCTTTACAGGTGAGATGAGACTCTTGTAGACAGCATATAGTTGGGTCTGTCTTTTTAATCCACTCAGTCACTCTGTGTCTTCTGAGTGGAGAATTTAATCCATTTACATTTAAAGTTGATATTGAAAAGTATGGTGTTACACCTGGCATTTTGTCAATTTTTGTTGGGATGTTTTATACATCTTTTGTTCCTTTGTTACTTTTTTATCGTTTGTCTTTGGTGTTTTGTTTTTTGTTTTTGTTTTTTTTTTGAAATGGTAAGATATAGTTTCTTCCTCTTTCTCTTGTGTATTCATGCTAGTGATTATCATTTTTGGATTGTAGATATAGGTCTCCCTTAAAGATTTCTTGTAGGGCTGGGCATGTGGTGGTGAACTTTTGCAGTTTTTGTTTCTCTGAAAATATGCTATTTCTCCTTCATTTCTAAAGGATAGCCTTCCCGGGTATAGTAATCCTGGCTGGAAGTTTGCTTTTTTTTTTCCCTTTTAGTATTTTGAATATATTATCCTATTATCTTCTGGCCTGTAGAGTTACTGTTGAGAACCTAGATTAGAAATTCTTTCTTGTGCTTGTTGTAGCCTGCGCTTAAGCTCTCTGTTGTGTTTTTTATTTCAATGGATGAATCCTTCAATTCTAGGCATTCTGTTACATTCTTTTCTAAGGTACTAAACTCTTTTTACATTTCCTCCTTTGTATCCTAAATACTTTTTCTCATTTTTTTGTCATCTGAGTCTTCTTGTATCTCACTGAGTTTCCTTAAGATAGCAGCTCGGAATTCCTTTTTGTCATTTCAGGGGTTTCCTGGTCTATTTAGTCTCATACTTGACAGTTACTGTATTCCTTTTGGTGGTATCATATTTTCATTAATGTTATCTTTTTTTTTTTTTTTCTTGTATTTTTAGTATCTTTACATTGATGTTTGGTTGTCTGGCAGAGCAGCTGCTTCTATTACTCTGGAGTGGGCTTTGAGGAGAGAGACTTCCTCCTGTAAATGTGTTTATATTAACCATTGAGTAGGGTGTTTTAGTATTGGTTCCATGTAGATGCAGTTGTGTAGTCTCTGTATGGTTACTTTGGCTGTATTCACCATCAGAGTTGCATGTGAATGCCTCTGTACCTTAGGTGCTGAGGCACTTAGTGATTTCTTGCTAAGGTTAGAGGCACTGTGTTGGGTCATCAAGGATGTGGCTGAGATCTCAAGTTTTGGGGAGAAGTCTGTGCATGCCCTTTTGCTCTTTGGCTAGGGTGGTTGACTCTGAACAGGCTTATTGGCACCCTGGTTATCATCCTGTGGTTCTTATGGGTGCACGGGGATATACTGGAGCTCCTCAGTTTGAATGGGTGACCCTGGGTGGGGTTTCTCTTTCCTCTTTCCTACAGGCAGAGCCTCCTCCTGGGTCATTATTTCCCCTGATTGGGGGATGGGTTGGTGGTGATTGTGAATTTTCTTCCTTACTCTATTTGGGTGTCCTGGGTTACTGCACTCTCTGGGAGTTTTGCATATGTCTCTCCCTGGATCAGTGCAGTTGTGTGGGCTGCACACATTATCTCCCATCCCCAGGTGCACTACCATGGGGGACAGCCACTGGGTTGTGGGTCTGGACTCACCTCTTTCCCTGGGCTCTGCTGATGACCCTCCTTGTATCAGTGCAGTTGAGTGGTTGGTGGGTGGCTTACATGGTGGCTGTGGCTGCTGTGGCCCTGGTGATTGCTGCTGTGGCAGTGGGCTACTCTTCAGTGGTGGTGGCTGTGGTGGTGGTCGTGGTGGAACATCTGTACAGTGGTGGTCTCTATGGCAGTGGGGCCCTGCTCTTGCCATCTGTTGGTGGGGGATGCCCTCGTTTCCAGAGGTCCCTGTGCTCCTGCTGTCTGTTGGCAGTGTCTGCCCTTGGCTCCTGAGGTCCTGCACTCCTACCTATTATTGGCGGGGTCTGCCCTTGGCTCCTGAGGTCCCTACGCTTCTTCTGTCTCTGGTCCAGCCATGCTCTGGGTCTCAAATGGAGTGGGCACAGTTCCCTCCCAGTGATGTTGAGTGCTTCTCTACCTACCTGTAGTGGTGACTTTTCTCTTTCCCAGCAGCGGAAGTAGAGAGAGGAGGTGGAGGGGAGGGGGGAGGCGAAAAGCCCTAGATTCTTAAAACATTATTAAATATAAACCAATTCAGACTCCCTCCAGACATATATGAGAGTACCATTTTCACCACCATCTCAGCAGCACTGAATGCAATTGTTTCTCTTTAATCTCTTATGGAGAAAATGGCATCTGGTGCTTTTCATTTATATTTTGATTACTTACATGATTTATTAGGAATATTAGCTGTCACGTTTAAGATAAACATTTTTATTTATTTTTATTGGTTATGAATATTCATGAGATACAAAGCTGATTGTCACCCCTCATGCCCAAGATATGAAGGCCAGATTCATACTGGCAGCATGCCCATTCCCACAAATTGTGTTTGTACACCATGTTCCCCACCCAAGATAAACATTTTTAAAGTTGCTATTTACATTATTACTCTGTTCATAAAATTTTTATCATACATAAGTTTCAGTCAGTATACAATGAAATAAAGTGTCATTGATTTTTTTTTGAGCATCTATTATGTGCTGGGCACCATTTTGAGTATTGCCCCATAAAGCTTATATTCCACCAAAACCTTTGTGGTTTCTTTTACTACTTTTATGCTTAGAAAGGGCTTCCCCATTTAGAATCTGGTAAATATTCTCCTAAATTATCTTTTTATTTAAAAAAATGTTAATGACCTCTTCTAATTGTAAGGGGAACAGAAAAGGTGTAGTTTCTGTGCTCATTGAATTTATAAACTATAGAGGGTATATAGCTACAAAGACATAAAAGTATCTACGTTTATATAAATGGAATCATACGTGAAACATTTTTATCTTTTTTTTTTTTTTTTTTTTGGCAACTGGCCAGTATGGGGATCCAAACCCATGACCACAGGGTTGTCAGCCCTGCATAGACGCCATGCTCTAACCAACTGAGCTACGTGATGTAGTGCTAGGGCTGGTGTTTGGAATCCTCACAGTGCCAGTTGTCTAGCTCTTAATGCTGTTCATGATGCCAATTGTCTAGCTACATGACCATGCTAGTTGTTGGACTCTTTTACCTGCCGGTAATCCTGCTGACTGGGCCGATTGTTGCACTAGGACTGGGTCTGGAGCTCCCAGAACCCTCAAGCCCATTCACAGACTGGGTCATAAACCCTTCACATGCCAGGCCGGGTCCCCAGACCCCTTCACGCAGGTCTGTGAGCTAGGTAACGGGCCAAAAGTTCCTTGGAAACTGCAGGTTGGAAAGCACGGCTGTGCCAGGCAGACGCCCGCCCACCTGCTTCACTAAACTCCCCCCTCCCCCTCCCTTTCCCCTTCCTCCTCCTTTTCACTAAACTCCCCCCTCCCCCTCCCACACATACCCCTCTCTAAAGAACACTCGAACAGCAACAAAACTAAAAAGATACATTGGCGCACATACACACTAACTACACACACACATACACACAATTTGCTTACAAAGGATGCTGAACCACACCCAACTGTACCTGAGGCAAGGGCCGTGACCAAACTATTCTATTTTCCCAACACCTGTCCAGCCCCATATGTGAAACTTAACGATTTTTAGCAGTATGTATGGAATCATAATATGTTATAGTGTGATATAATTTTATTAGCCTGTAAACAGCCATAAGTAGAATGCTAAACAATAGAATCCTTTTGAGGATATTTTATGTAAACTCATGTAAATTATTTAAACTATATTAAGAGG